GTGTGTGTGTGTGTGTGTGTGTGTGTGTGTGTGTGTGTGTGTGTGTAGCTTATGGCCTTGCTTTGTGTTCTGTGTGGGACCATTTCTAACACAATTCGCTGAGTTTTGAAAGCCACATTTTAAGAGATGTATTGACTGGCTAATGTATACCCAGAGAGCAGGACCATAATATGAAGACTCCAAACTATTGCTAATGGTTTGCTGAATGGAAGCCTTGATATTGACCCAAATGGATATTATATATCTATAAGATCTGGAAGATTTTTTTCTACCATAATTTAAGATAACAGAAATAAAACTAGTGGGCAGGATTTTAGGTTCAGAAAGCTTTAATTTGATAAGCATATATATATCTTTTTTATTTGTGCTCCATAGTGTGAATCAGACAGAAAAAGTTAATTAGAAGCTTATAATGATGTTTGGTGTACAAATATAGTTTATGTGTTATTTAATTTGGAAAGAGTGTGTGTTCACTTGTAAGTGGTACACACGGGGAGGTCATAGGACAACTTTTGGGAGTCAATTCTCTCCTCACACCATGTGTGTTCCAGGAATTAAAAGGACTGTATTAAAAAGAATGTCCCCAGAAATCAGTTTTGAAAGGTATGATTTCTTTGAAACTATTGATGGTATTTTTTTTCCAATGATAAACTAAAAATCTTGATTGAAAGGTAAAAGAGAAGCATTTATGCCTTCTTTAGGATGATAATGGCAGAAAAAGGAAGCAGGAACTCAGAAACACACACCACACACACACACACACACACACACACGTAAAATAGATATGTGCTTTTCCAGTAGTGATAGGCAAGTACTGATTTTGTAAGTAAAATTGGGTTTACCCCGACTGCCTCCACATCTGTAGGCTTTTCTCCCATGTTTCAGAATGAGATGATTGCTGCTATCGGCATAGATGTTTTAAATAAAATTTTACAGAATCAACACTTGTCATTAGCATGCATGAACTATGTCCTTTTAAGTTTTTATGGTGATTCATATGTTTTTCCCCCTTAATTTGACATAGCGATGGGAACAATTATGCTCACATTGCTCTGTTGGATTAAAGACAATTAGAAGTGATTTTAAATCGCTAAGTAGGGAAAGAGAAGAGACCAATTAACACTTGCCATGGGGGAACACCATATTTTAACTACAATAATCACAAAACATCAACTAAAGACACACCCATGCCAGCACTCTGGGAACATGATTTGTAAAAATTGGCTGCAAGCAAGAAGAGAGGAGGAACTATCACTGCTTTCTTTTCTCCAAAACGGGCTGTTCGGGTTCGGGGTAAACACCATATTATTGTGCTTTAGTGGATTTTATGCTGTATCTTGTTATCTCAAGTAACTTGCAATATGATATAAAATAATATATCGGATCAACTGAGGAAAATAATCTGCTTCTTAGGGACAAGTGGACATACTTCAGTGATGAGTAATAGCAGCTCATTTCCATAGAATGTTCTTGGCATCAGATACTTAATGCTATTTCGTTATCTCTTTATCAGATGTTACTGCGGCTTTCTACTAGTCTTGCCTGGTGCCTAGGGTCAAGAACCGTAATAACTGTTAAGTGCTAAAAATACTTAGTACACTGATGATTATGCTGGTTTTTTTTTTTTTTGATGCTCCCACATGTAATTACACATATCACAACCAAATTTTCTCCTTACTAAGCCAACAGCAGCTATACTATAGAATACTTTGGTAATTTAATCTAAACCAAGAAAAACCTTAGGTCTTAAAAAATATGTGTGCATGTATATGGCAGTACACTCTGGCTTAAAAAAAAAGAAATAGTAAAACTTTCCAAAAATATATTAGTAATAAAATTAAGATCTCAACATTTAGGCAGAGTATCTCATTGTTATTTTAAATTTCAAAGACATGATGTTCTTCTTAATATACTTAAACTTCCTTCACATAATTCTTAGAAATGATGCTGCATTTTCAGTAATGCTCAAAAACTGCTATTAAGTGAATTTTATAAATATTTCACAGTGATAGAGTGGATCGTAGCATTGTTCGCTTATTTTGAGCTGCCTGAATCTGGACAGGTGGGAGCCATGGTGAATTCCTAGACCGAAGTATACGCCCAAGGGTTTACTGAGAATGCTTACACCCCCTGTGGAGCATCTCCTTCTAGCTGGTGTGCTGTTCACAGAGCAGACTTGTCAGTGCAATGACCAGGAATTCCAGTAATGGAACATGATCGGCATCTGCTGAAAATGTTCATGCCCATGACAGGAGCCAGACAAGCGGAAAGGGAACTGTCTCATGCAGAATTGCCTTTGGTATGACTTCAGAATTGACCTCACAGCAGTCAACAGATATAGATAAGGAAATAAGCATGTCCATTATGTGATGAGAATCTGCATATGTGCATATATGATATCTCATATTAGGTAAGAAGACACATAAACCACAATTAAACTGGTTGCCAGAGACCATGTACAAAGGCAGGACACTGGCCACAGCTGAAGGGCAAGAGTTTGAAGTCCAGTCACTGTGTACCTATCTATATAAGATGATTATGAGAGTAGTAGCTTCTGATGTTTGTTCAGAAAATGATGCCTACTCCATAAAAAGCATTTATTAATATGCCCAGAGAAGCCAAGAAAAAGAAAAGAAGGAAGGGGAAGGGAAGAAAGAAAGAAAAGAAGGACATAAGAAAGAAAGAAGGAAGAAGAGAGAAGGGGAGGGAGGGAGGGAGGAAGGGAGGAAAGGAGGAAGGAAGAGAAAGAAAGAAAGAAAGAAAGAAAGAAAGAAAGAAAGAAAGAAAGAAAGAAAGAAAGAAAGAAAGAAAGAGAGAGAGAAAGAAAGAAGATACATATTACTAAATAGCACATGGAATACACAGGCTGTGGAATCATTAAGCACACACTAGACATCTTAAGTGATAATTATAAGTTGGATAACCCTGAGACTGGCACATTAGCATCTCAGAGGCCCCATTCCTTTACGTTAAAATTTGAGGTGATTGTCCTGGAGTTGTGAAATGACAGAAAGTTGGAAAACCCTACATGTGACAGATATCCAGAAAAAAGTTACCTGTCCTCATAACACTACAACTTTCCCAACACCTGGGAGGCAGAGGCAGACAGATATCTGTGAGTTCAAGATCAGCCTAGTCTGCAAAGTGAGTTCCAGGACAGCCAGGGCTACAGAGAAACCCTGTCTTGGAAAAAACAAAAACAAAAAACAATCAACCAACCAACCAACAAACAAACAAAACAAAAAAGGTGTGAGTGTGTGTGGAAGGGGTTCTTTTTCGGTATCATTTGTGACTAATGAAATTTATTTTGGTTACTCTTTTTAGGGTGAAAATGGCTTACATGGTATTCCAGGCTTACTTGGTCAAAAGGTAATAGGTTTTTTAAATGTTTCCCACAAACTAAGCTAATAAACCAGTCTTTCCAAAGAGGCCTCAAAGAAGCACTTCCTTCTGGGAGACCTCTTAAGGAAACATTTGTTCCAGGGTGTTAACAGCATGCCTTCCCGAAAAATCAGTAGTGATGCCTTCTAAGGGCCACAGAGGTGTTACAGCTACACCAGGAACATGTTGACTTATCATCAATCAGAGTGAACAATGGAACAGTGTCTTCCCCTGTTATTCCATATTTGAAAGTGTTGTGCTTCTCCGGTTAGGTTAAGCAAATTGCTTATAATGACACAAACTATCTAACAGTACAAGGATCACACACAACCAAGCTCTTCAAAACACACCATTCTGCTTTTGCCTGGCAGTGCAGACCGATAATTCTAGCTACTCAGGAGGCTGAAGCAGGAATATTGCATGTTCACAGCCTGCCAGCCTCTACAGTGAGTCCAAGGCTAGCTCAGACGACTTAGTGAGATCATGCCGCAAAATGAAAAGCCAAAAGAGGGCTGGAAGGATAGTCCAGTGCAGAGTGTTTGCTTAGCTTATATGAGGTTATAAATTCAATCCCCTATAAAGAAAAAAAAAACCCCTTCAGAATGGTCCATTCATATTCATGATGAAGGAGAAGTTTTTCACCTTCCAGGGTAAGTCTTCCTGTGCCTGGCAGCTTACTCTTCACCAAAATGAACTGCCTCTGCATCCTTTACTGTCTGTCCAAAGACTGCATTCTCTCTCTGGGAACAAGCTCAACTCCATGTGCCAAGCACTACTGGATGCACAGAAACTAATATACTCCCGATTCCTGGAGGGAAGAGGAGTCACTTCAGGTGGAGCCAGCTGCCATGGTACAGCCCAGACAATCCCACCACAGGGGAGAGCATTATTGATGCAATTTTAGATGTGCCCCAAAGCCAAACACGTGGTGAAGCGTTACAGGTCTTAATAACAAAATGTCTGAAGTTGCTATGCATCTATGTTTTGTTTTCTCCATAGCTGGAAATGTCATTTGAAAAGATATACTTTCATTTATAGTTACAGCTTTAAAAAAAAAAAAGTTTCTTTGTATAGCCCCATAGAGATAACAAAATTGGACCCAGAGCTGTGAAACCGCATGCTCCGGAGTCTCTTCACAGCATTTCTAGACAAACCCCACTGGTACAGCATGTGCTGCATCTGTGAGCTGAGTTACAAGCCAAGGGATGTGCAGATTTATCTGCTGGGAAATTGTTTTGGACTTTCCAGCAGCTGTTTGCGGTGGCCGCATCATGCTGACGTCGTGGCCAGTGTGCTAGGGGCATTTAACAGCTTCGTCAGCTTCAGTTACCAGGAGTTAAATTTTAGGGGCAACACTATTAAAAGAAAGGTAGGCCCATGCATTAGTGATAAAAAATACCTATGAACTAATCTGTTGTTTGCTGATAACGTTTTGAGAACAAAGGAAGCAGGAAATAATTATTTAATCATGTTTCTACACACATTATATACATTTACTTAGCTATATGCAAATGCTAATATACTGATACATTTTCTATATATAGATAATAAGAGTGAGTTAATCTATAGAATGCGTGTGGATTTTAATTATATCATGCACCACTTTTCAGAGGCAGTAAAGCTGAGATCAGAAACTTCATCTCTAGCTAGGTATGGTGGCATGTGTTTATTTATCATCCCAGCACTTCTGTGTTCTCCATCACAGGATCAGGAGTTCAAGGCCACTGTGAGCTACATAGTGAACTCAAGGGCAGACTGGTCTGCACAATATTTTTCTTAAATAACTTAAACACAAATCTCTCTCTCTCTCTCTCTCTCTCTTTTGAGGCATAGCTCTGTAGCTATGGAACCTGTCCTGGAACTTGCTCTGTAGCCCAGGCTGGCCTCAAACTTACAGTGATCCACCTGCCTCTGCCTCCCGAGTGCTGGGATTAAAGGCGTGCACCACTACCGCCTGGCTTCAAATATGCGTCTCCTAGAAAGATGTGGTCTGGATGCTTTATGCCACGATCCCCAGTGAGGGAACTGGAGACAAAACCCCTCTCTCACACTCATCTCCCAGCTATGTAACCATAGGTCCCTGACATGTAGGAGGCTCTCCATGAGCGTTCACTAGAGGTTTGATGGTAATGTCATCAATCTATCTATGGCAAATTAAATCAGAAAGTAAACATGAAATTAGAAAGGATTCGGCTGGAGGGGGGAATTTGTACTTTTTTAGATTTAAAGGATGGCATAGAGAACAGCTCTTTTTGTGACTGTGAGTCACATGAGCAGAACAGAGAGGAGCCTGGGGTTGCAGGCTGGGGGAGAGAGGTTGGGGGCTCTAAGGTTCAATTCTAAACCTACTCATCATGAACCTCTCATTAGACACTTACGTGGAAGGGAGGGTTCAGAGAAGTCTGCATTTAATGAGATGCTAGTGACAGCGAGAATGTCAAAGTTGGTCTCCACTGCTTAATTCAATTCTGAAAGCAAGTGTAGATGGCACCATTCTCAAGTGCTTAACATACAGGGTGCGTGGCTATAGGGATATGAGATTTTTCTAGAAGGTAGGGAAGTATCCAAAAAGCTGTTCCTTGAGAATTTTGTATTATTCAGACTTTGTGTTGTAGCTAGAGTTTTCCTGGTCCTGCCTGGCCCACAGTCAGGACAAATCTCTCTCACCTGCCAGTCCCACAGCCACTCAGACCCAACCAAGTAAACACACAGAGACTTAAATTATTTATAAACTGTCTGGCCATGGCAGGCTTCTAGCTAGTTGTTCTTATATCTTAAAGTAACCCATTTCTATTAATCTATAAGTTGCCACGTGGCTCGTGGCTTACTGGTATCTTAACATCTTCTCATGGAGGCGGCTGGCAGCATCTCTCTGCCTCAGCCTTTCATTTCCCAGCGTTTTCTTCTTTGTTTGTCTCGTCTATACTTCCTGTCTGGCTATTGGCCAATCAACATTTTATTTATACAGAGCGATATCTACAACATTGTGTTGTTTAATGTTGACTTAGAACTTCATATCCCAAGGAATTATTTAAATCACTGATTTTATTCTTAGAAATATTGCTATTATTATGAAAATTTCTGTGAACTGTAAGTACTATTCTTATTGATTTACACCATGTTCTTCTTTTACAGGGAGAACAAGGACTTGAAGGCATCAAAGGAGAAATTGGTGAAAAGGTAAATCCTTTCTATATGTGTTTGTAAAGATGAGTTATGCTCCCAAAATAGTTTAGTGTGACATTTAGCTTTTGTATGTTCTATACAACATATGTTATAACTTTATAGTGAAACTAAAAACTTTCCATCAATTAGAGGAGTCTTCATATATTGGTGATTGACAGAAATTGTTCGAAATTTACTTAGTGGTCAGGCATTTTTAGTTACAGTTATTCAATTTATAGTAAAAGATGCAAATATTTATTGGGCATTGTATTTGTATGTTATGGTGCCATTGGTCCACTATGAGTATGTCTCTGGCTAAAAGTTTTGTTAGCATGGACACTGGTTTATTAGTGGAAGTTTTCCTAAGGGGAAATTAAGAAAAAAAATTGTTTTAAAGAGCTAACTATTACAGAAAAGACAGAACACACTAAAATCAGAATTATTACAAAAGGTTTAATTAAAGGGGTAATTAAAAAGTATGGATGATGTATAAGATACTCATTCACAAAACTTTTAAATAACTTGAATCACCCTTCAGCAGACACTTTTATCAATGACACAAGGTTACAGATGCAAAGACAGAGAAAAGTGTGGGGAAAGCTTCAGACAAGGAAGCGCTTTTTCCAAGGCAGTCAGTCCCATGTGAGAATCTTGGCAAGAAGTACCCCCATTCAGCCCTGAGCTCCTGCTAGTGAAGCAAGCAGAGACAGTCAGGTGGTTGTGGTCCACAGACATGGGTACCCTGAGGCTCAAAGGAAGATAGATATTGGTAGACTGTGGCCTTGAGGGACCAAGGACAGATATCATCCCTGTAACCCAAGTGTCATCATATCACACTCTCACCAAATTGAACTCAGCATTTCATACCTTTAAGCAGTGTTTTATTCTACAAAATAATCACTGAGTCATCTTGTAGTCCTTAAAAAACATTTAAACAATCTTTTCTTGACAAACCTACAGCTTCAGCAGGTGGAAAGGGGGTCCCAAATCAGCCAGCATTGCTTGGGTGTAGCTTGTTTGGCAGCGATCAGTTATCTGCCTCTCCTATAAGTATTTATAGAGACAATGAGTATCTTCTATAATTACAGGACAAATTACATATGTTGTAAGCTACATGATAATTACTTTCCCTCACTGAAGTGAGAGGGGAAGAGAGCAAGAGAGAGCG